AAAACACACTAAAAAGTCCCAAAAGTACTCCAAAACACATATCCCCACAAAAGTTACATCACCTGATAGCCCTGATCTGGGTGACCAACATATCCAAAAATCACCCAGATCAGGGGTTCAGAAATTCTATAGAAGTCATTTATTTTACCAACCGCAGGCATAGTCCCATGCCCAAAACAGTTGCAGAGAATCAGGGCTTGCGGCCGGTCCAGGTCTGTAGTTTGCAAAAGAAAAAACTACCAAACAGAGTCAATGTTCTTACCCTGGAGCTTGTTCCCTTCATACAGACGAATGATCCCACCAAACATTGCCCTTCTAACATGTATAGAACCAAACACAGGTCCAGCAGTGTTCGGGAGCTTCTGTATCCGATTTTAGTTCCATGAGATTCATGCCCAAACACCACTGCCTGCGTTCATGCGAAAAAGATGGCCGCCACCTCGTGGCTGTCCATAGGAATTGTGGCCACCCAGAAGATCAATTAGAACACTGCGGTGAGAAACGGTCCAAATTGTTAATAGGTGTTAACAAGCTCCAGGGTGGTCTCTGTTCGTGCGGTTGTTCGGTAAACTAACCATATAGTCCCAATTGCACAAACAGAGCCTGTTTGAAGTATTTTAGCCAGGTCTATTGCAGGGGCCATAGTCACAGGGTAGGAGGCTGGCACACAGGCTCCTCCAAAAGTCATTGTCGAGGTCACTTTCGCCACAGTAACCTTAACAATCCATGAATAGGGATGGTGTACATGTTATACGTATTTTATGCTTAGCCGATCAGAAATTACTATAGCAACAATCTGGAAACTTACCGCCTTACAAATAGTTTGCGACTTAATGGTTATGTGTTATGCAAAAGATTGATAGGTATTTTACCCCTGCAATTTTTATCATTTAGGTTCTTATTAAAATTGCAAATAGGACAGAAAGCAAATTAAGCCAAAAAAAGTCATATGGAGAAATCTCTAGATAAACGAAGAGTTTTGTTTTGGCATTTAGGAAAGGAAAAAAAAGAAATTGTGGAAGAAACCTATTGGGAACCATCCTTGGCTGAAAGACTAGCTTTCACTCCAGGAATTAAGCAATTAATGGAAAAGTGGTCTAGAGAGAGAAGGTAACAATTAGAACTGGCAGAATAGATGACCTTTTTAGAGAGTATAAAGGTTCCCAGTGAACGAGTGAAAAAAAGAACTGCAATAAGAATCAGCAGAAGAAAAGTACAAGTCCAAAAACAAAATAAAATAAAGTGCAGCGAAAAATGTAAGTGACAATGTTGACTTAAATGTATATTTACTAATGTATTTAGAATCATTTTAAATAAGGTTGTTATATAGACAAAAATACTAATGTTATACAATATGAACAATCAAAAGATATTAAACAAAATGTAAAAAAAGAGTAATCATTAATGGGACATACCTCCATTATAATTCATACTAGAGATAGCGTGCAGTGACTGAGCACTCTCAGCCAATCACTGCTCCAATCTCTGTTAAGAATTAGAATGGCGACAGGCAGAAGAATAGCTCCTCTATATTGTAAGTGGAGGCCCCAGGAAACCAAACAACTCTGCTAAATGGTGAGTAAACACTTTAACAGTGATATAGGACCCAGTGTCCACATGTTTCAGGCACCATAACCACTTTAGTCAAAGTAATCAGAGTGCCTACAGTGTTCTGGTTGATGTTAATAAACTCACTCTATTATTATCAGACTTGGTTGGCCATTTGTTACCACAGACACTCAATGGGATTGGAGGTTTGATGAATGAGACAACATCATGATATTGACCTGTGCCTTGACTATGTCTTAAGCGCACATCATAGACAAGTGAGATTTCTTTTCTCGTGAGACACAACTCTTAAACCTTAAAAATGAGGAAACAAACTCCCAGTTCAATAACAATCGGGGACAAAATATTAACTCCTTAGACCTTTAAATTATTGGCCATTTATGTTTACTAACAACTGTATTTCTGGACTTTTGCAACTACTTATACCTGAACAGATTAAAAATATTTTGGAGCAAGTATTGCATCATGCATGCCAATAAAATCAATCCTTTTTTGCTGCTCATTAAAATATACAATCTATAGCGCATAAATTGAATGATTAGGCAGATAGTCACTCATGATATCAGCATATTGCAATCAGGGAAAATTGATCAACATGTTTCACTTATACCTTGTCCTGTTTAAACTGATTAAACTAGTTGACATATACAGTTTCGGTTTAAAAGCACACAAGACTCAACAGACCAGCTAAAGTGAGTAGTGTACCTCCCAAGTATCCCTATTTAGGTGCAGTCCCTATTTAAATGTTTCTTCTAGGCGCTCTATATTTTTGATGTGTTTTTTTTTTTTTTTTTTTTTTATAGCACAAAGCTCCTTAGCAATACTACTCATAATGTGTCTATAAACTACAATAAATGTGTTTAGAAATCAGTCTGTGTACATAATATACATCGATCTTGTTCTAAATTACACTTATTTCATAATTTTTTATTAGTAAGTCACCTTACATTTCTCAAACAGCCCCACCTCTGGCCACAACCCCTCTAATAACCCTGGCCTTACACCCCTAATGTGTTCCTCTTTGTTCACTTGGAATGTTGGGGGTTATGGTGTACAACTGTCTGTTTAAAGCAATTGATTCCATTAAATAGCCACCTGGTAGTTGAAGAACAAAATTATAAAACAGTATAGATGTAAATAGAAACTATGGGCACTATTCTACAGTACCAGGTCAATTGTACAACCTCAGACACCAGTCACACTAAAATGACAATGCTACCAAATATTGCAAGGTACAACATTGGTGCTTACCAATGAAATTGGTAAATCTTCTGAAATTTGTAACAAAACATTCATGCTTATATAGTCTATAAACCTTAACACCTTTCCCCCTACACCACATTCCTGAGATATCAATGCCCCTGTCTCACTTCACCAGGGCTTTTCTCTCACTTGTAGCGCACACCGGATCCTTTGGTGGATTCACCTCCCAAGACGGAGGGCCGGAGTCTATAATCCCTACATAGAAGTGGCAGTTAAACCAAAGTATAAGGCAGCATTGCTCATGATGGGGATGGAAACCCCACAAAATATCATTATATTAGGCACACACACCCAAAAGACTGTTTCTTAAAGGTGCAGGAGGCTGAATAATTAGGAACTGGTGGAGACAGATCTGCCAATAGAGTGGGGGAGGTGTGGCTCTCTCCCCTTTATAACCACATCTGACATGTCCTCAGTGCCTAGCTATACTTTTATATTGTGTGTACTATTGTCTTCTTGGTATGTGAGTCATTACTTGCCTATTTCCTTGTTTATGATCCTGTGCTGCCTGCCTCTTACCTTGGCTTTCCTGAGTACGTTTTTCACATATCCCTGTTGGTACCTCGCTTCTGCTTATTACTGCAATCAGTGCTCCTCCTATCAAAACCGTAACAGATGATTTTGTAACTTCTTCTCTGGCTTCAGTTTTACTTTTTATTCTGTTCTACAGATCCTCTCTCTTAGATGCACTGGAACATTTCACAGGAGTGCCCACTAGAGCCTAATTATGGCTCTGATTTTTTTTTTGCCCTAACAAATAAATTATTTAACATTTTACACATGCATTTATGGAGTATTTTATTAGTACAGCAATAAGAAAACAACTACTGTCTTTACTGGAAACTAGGAAACATTTTAAGATTAGGACTAGCAGAGACAGAAACAGAAGATCATGTTGCTAGGCTACGCTGCTGCTTTATGCATAACATACATTATCAATAAATGGCATTACCTTTCATGCTATTCCCAGAGTCCCTTTCAGCATGCAGCATCTGAAAGATGGCCAGGTGGGAAGGGTAATTATTTTATTCAATGATATAGTTCTTTAATTTGCCTTTTTTATTTTTCATGATTTTTTTTTTGTCTAAGCAGCTGGACTTTGTAGGTATCCTGCTGGCTCGCCAACAACCAAATCATATTTTTTCCCCATCTGTTGTTAAATGTACATTTTCACTTACAATGTAAAATGCTCCGCAGCCTTTTAAAAAGGCACAATTTAACGTAGCTTAATAGCTGATAATGCAATTAGCTGGTAATTAAGGTTGGTTCTTGTTGTAGTCAGGGATAAATAATACATAAAACTAAAACATATGATTTCTGTTTTTTTAAGCCTACATTTTTCCAAACTATGCAATTATTAGCGTACCATGAATAAATATGCTGCTGCCTTATGCTCTCACAAATTAATTACCATCTATAAACAGAAGAAAATTAAACCAAAAGTCTTTTTTCATTTTAAGAAAGCATAAAAGGCTCAGAGGCCAATGGAACTGGCATGCTTATCTGACAGTTCTGCCTTTTTTGTTGTTGTTGTGCATAAAATTACATACAGGCTTGTATGGCCACAACAGCGGTAACAAGCATTACAATTGCGTACTTTGTGATAGCATTTGAGTCAACTGCACATTTTATTTTTCAAAATAAACAAGAGTAAATTAAAAACAAGATAATGTGGAATTAGCCCTATGAAGAGATCAATTATACTGCAGAATATGCTTGACATAAAATCAGAATTAAGCTTGGTTATCGAAATCTGTGGTGATAGAGCAGAGCTAAGACTAATATTATGATAATAACAATAGATTCAGTTTGTATGTTTGCCATCCTACAGCTCTAGACTCAGGTGGGAGACATCTATATTAAATAAGAACTTATAAAGTTGCAATTGCACCTAGGGTATGCCAAACTGATTAATAGAAATTAAACTTTTGTGAGTGAAAGACAACAGGACATTGGTGAAGAGCATGTTAAACTAACATACAGGTACCATAGATATAACATGTAGTTTATGGCTTGATTTGGTTTTCAGCCTATCCCCATTATGGGGAATTTACTATCCCACAGAGCATGGATTTGAAAAACCCAGAGCCAGAGGTATCAGCAGCTGATCTGGCATGTGTAGGTGCTTTCCTCCCGTCTCCTCAGCTCTCCTCTTGTCGCTTGTGTGTTCACAGTAGCTGTATGACTGTGTAGAGCCACGGCTCACTGCTTGTTTTGCACCGTCTCAGGCGTAGCGGCCCTCTGGCAAGTGCTGCTGGGCTGCTTGGTGTGTGACAGGCTGGTCGTGTGGGAGTCATCACGGTTTCAGGTATTGATGCTTTGCCCCTTAGCTTCTTCCAAAACGCATCAAAGAGTGCATCCAGGCGCTGGAGAGTAGTGGTCATCACTCCTCCTTGGGTGAGGGTATCCACAGCGTCCACCATCTTAGGGGTACCTTTGACGGTAATGTCGACTTCTGAGTTACTGCCGTGGCTCCATGGTGGGTAATTATAGCTTTTTGGGCAGGGACCGGGATCACCCCCACCGGTCTAAAGGGGAGGGCAGCAGGGCAGCAGTAACACGCTTGGTGCTGTGCCTGCGCCTGTCCTGGAGAGCAGCTGCCTCTCAACTCCAAAGCGCTTGCTAGGCCTTATTGTACTTTGGCTACTAGATTGCTTGAGAGGATTGCAGGGTATGTTCCCTGATCTCTCTGTCATGTCGTAAGACTAACAGTAAGTAGCAGGCTTAGAAATAGTTGCTGAATTAGCTCAAAAATTCGATTTGTACAGTGTGTCTCAGGGAGTTCCCAAGAAACACATCTAGTCGCCATGCTGGTCAGGCCCCGCCCACCCAACAGTTTTGCCTTTTAATGTTCATGTCATGTACAGGTTGCAACTTTAAAGCCCAGGTCGGGGTTTATTTGTTCCTTTTTTACAAACATATTTCACTTTTATATCATTTTTTTTTTTTTTATAAACTTAGTTTAAATGTTTTTCATGAATAATATTAAGTCATGTTTATTTTGCAATATGGTATGGTCCTAAGGGGGATGTCAGTCTTTTTCTGCTACATTTTCTCTCTCTCTCTTTCTCGTTTTCTCATACATTGCTGCAGTTTTTAAAATAAATCATAAACAATCTGTACAAAGTTCAGCTTTACTCTATGGTCATTTTATTTTCTTCAATCTTAATGTCTAGATATAATGTTCTGTCTCAGTAGGATGGGTAAACATTCTTCTGACTGTCTATTTGCAATAACTCTCAAGCTATCCATACCTACAGACATTCAAGGACAGACTGTCAAGGTTACGAGGCTGTCCTGTTTGGATGATGACTCAATGGTTTGGGAGCATTAACATTTGTCATGCACAAACTATTTATCAAGGTAATCTGACAAGCTTAATAAATATTGAGTGTTATTGAATGCTATTTTCCAGACATACACTGTAGTGATAGTGGTACGGCTATATAAACAAATTCTATACATAAACAAATTGCCCTTTTTTGCAATTAAAATAGTCCAGAGGTTATTTTCTGCACTGTATCTCCGATGCATTAATTATATACATTGGAGCAAGACAATATATTATTTTCAGAAAAACTCCGCTTGTACATTTATCAACACATATACTCAAGCGTATCACATATCATATTTTGCATTATATAATTATCTGGCTTATGTGTTTTGTTTTTTGGTGTGTTTTTTTTTTTGCTTAATATGGTTTTGTGTGTCATGGAGCCTCTAAACTGTGTCAGATTTCCTTGTGTTCTTTTGGAACCAGCTGTATCTTTCATCTTTTCGGGATCACCTTTTTTTGTTTCTCATGTCTTGCCTTTCACTCCCAAATGTTTTAAAACTACAACAAGCTTGGTGATTTGCTATTCTAAAGGATTGCTAAGCATCATGGGAGTTGTAGATTTTAAAACTTCTGGGGATTTCTCTTTTGGACACACCTGTTATAATGCATTTGTCCAGCATCCTAGTGATTTTCCCATGGGTGGACTTTGTTTTATCCTTCATTGGAATGGTGGACTTCATTTATATAGTGATATGACTATATATTTTAATTCTCCATTTGGACATGTTTAACCCCTTTGCGACCGAGGACGGTTCAGGACCGTCATCGGCATTTTTGCGTTGCCGACCGATGACGGTCATGAACCGTCCTAACGGTCTCCGTTACTTACCTGATCGCCGTCGTTCCCCCGGCGGCGATCAGCGTTGCTCCGGTTGTGGGGAGACTGCCTGCAGCCCAGACAGTCTCCCCACACTGAATTAGGACCCCTGTGGCCATGTGATCGCTTAACACAGCGATCACATGGTCACAATAGGTGTCCATGTGTCAGCCTGCAGGGGGACTGCCTGTGCTGACAGGCAGTCTCCCTGCTAGTGTAAAATCAAAAAATAAATAAATAAAGTTAATGTTAATAAAAAAAAAAAATTATATATGTGGATACATATATGATATATAGACATATATTATATCAATATAATATATGTCTATATATCATATATATATAATGCCATACTAAGTGTATTTTTATATTAATATGTACTTATATTAATATAAAAATACACTTATAATTAAATTACACACGTATATATATAATATATATAATAACTATATATATTGTATATATATATATTATTCTAAAATATAAATAATAAGTAATTTAAATTAAATAATTTTTTTTTAAATAATAATAAAAATTAAAAAAAAATTATATATCTATATGAAATTTTATTCTAACTGTATTTTAAAATTAATATATATATATGTATATCAAAATACACTTAGAATGAATTTGTATATATATCTATGTATATAAAAATACATAAAAATAATAAGAAATATACATATGTCCATATACAAAATTACATAAATAATTATATAAATATACACGTAGACTTCAAATATATAAATATACATATATATTTAAATTCTACGTGCGTATTTATGTAATATTTTTACATAATTCAGTAATTTTATTGATTGCAATTTGAGGGACCTGCCTGCCAACCCAGGCCGAAATTCCAGAGAATTTAATTTGCTAGCACTGTATTTTACCCTGTAACGTTCTACGACACCCTAAAACCTGTACATGGGGGGTACTGTTTTACTCGGGAGACTTCGCTGAACACAAATATTAGTGATTCAAAACAGTAAAACATATCACAGCGATGATATTGTCAGTGAAAGTGACTTTTTTTGCATTTTTCACACACAAACAGCACTTTTACTGATGATATAATTGTTGTGATACGTTTTCCAGTTTTTAAACACTAATATTTGTGTTCAGCGAAGTCTCCTGAGTAAAACAGTACCCCCCATGTACAGGTTTTATAGCATTTTTGAAAGTTACAAGGTCAAATATATGGGTCAACCCTAGGTTGTCTTCTTTAAAAAAAAATGTACATGTGGGGTGTTATTCAGAGATTTATGACAGATAATAGTGTTACAATGTCACTATTGATAAATTTTAAAAATGTATGTTTTGAAACCGCAATATCCTACTTGTACCTATAGCCCTATAACATGCAAAAATAAGCAAAAAAGCATGTAAACACGGGGTATTTTTAAACTCAGGACAACAGAGGTAGGGGAGGGTGGGGGTGGGGAGGAATAAATTGAAGGGGGGGAATAAATTGAAGGGGAATAAAGTGACAGGGAGGGTGGGGAATAAATTGAAAGGGGGAATAAATTGAAAGGGAGGGGAATAAATTGACAGGGAGGGTGGGGGGAATACATTGAAACGGAGGGAATAAATTGACGGGGAATAAATTGACAGGGAGGGTGGGGAATAAATTGAAAGGGGGGGCAATAAATTGACAGGGAGGGGGGAATAAATTGACAGGGAGGGTGGGGGGAATAAATTGAAAAGGCGGCAATAAATTGACAGGGTGGGGGGAAGAAATTGACAGGGAGGGGAATTGACGGGGAGGGAGGGGGAATGAGAGTGGGGAGGGGAGAAGAGAGTGACAACGGGGGAGAAGAGAGGGACAAGGGAGGGGGGAGAAGAGAGGGACAAGGGAGGGGGGGAGAAGAGAGGGACAAGGGGGGGAGAAGAGAGTGACAAGGGAGGGGGGAGAGATTGACATCCATCACACACACACACAATGCACCACTTACACACAAAGACAACGCACCCCTTGCACACAGAAACACACAATGCATTCCTTACACATACTCAATGCACCCCTTATACACACTCAATGCACCCCTTACAGACGCACACACTGCATCCCGTACATACACAGAAACACACCTTGAGCCCTTACACATACAAACAGAGAGTCACACAATGCATTCCTTACACACATATCAGGACATCCCCCTACTCCACCCCCTATTTTTACATTGAAAATGGCCAGGTTGGTTACGTTGCCTTTGAGAGCGTATGGTAGCCCAGGAATGAGAATTACCCCCATGATGGCATACCATTTGCAAAAGAAGACAACCCAAGGTATTGCAAATGGGGTATTTCCAGTCTTTTTTAGTAACCATTTGGTCACAGACACTGGCCAAAATTAGCGTTCAATTTAGTTTTTTTACTTTTTTCACACACAAACAAATATGAATGCTTACTTTGGCCAGTGTTTTCGACTAAGTGGCTACTAAAAAAGACTGGACATACCCCATATTGAATACCCTGGGTTGTCTACTTTAAAAAAAATATGTACATGTGGGGTGTTATTCAGAGATTTATGACAGATAATAGTGTTACAATGTCACTATTGATAAATTTTAAAAATGTATGTTTTGAAACCGCAATATCCTACTTGTACCTATAGCCCTATAACATGCAAAAATAAGCAAAAAAGCATGTAAACACGGGGTATTTTTAAACTCAGGACAAAATTTTGAATCTATTTAGCAGTTTTTTTTCATTCGCTTTTGTAGATGAGTAAAAGATTTTTCAAGTAAAAGTCAAAAAACATGTATTTTTTTCAATTTTTCATCATATTTTTTTATTTTTTTTAAAATTAAAATACATGAGATTATATAAATAATGGTATGTAAAGAAAGCCCCTTTTGTCCTGAAAAACAATATATAATTTGTATGGGAACAGTAAATGAGAGAGCGGAAAATTCCAGCCAAACACAAACACCACAAAAGTGTAAAAATATGCCTGGTCGCAAATGTACAACATCGCAAAAACAGTCCAGTCCTTAAGGGGTTAAATGTGTTTTGGTTATTGTGTATTCTTGAAAAACATTACTTATATCTGCATACATCTTGATATCACTGGCATAGGCGTGCGCAAGGGGTGTGCCGGGTGTGCCTAGGCACACCCTAATCCCCGCGGCACGTCTCTGGAGTGAGACCGGCAGGGGAGATCTCAGGATCCCCCCTGTCAGCTCATGCAGAGCGGACGCTATCCCCACAGGCAGTGAGGGAGGCAGGAGAGGACCTGGGGAGCTCTTGCCAGCAGCTCTCTTCTA